TCGATCACAAGGTCGAACTGGACGCCCAAGGAGACTGCCATCCGATGAGATAGACGTGATGCGGCACTGCTGTGTCGGTCAATACTGTTCTTTCGTCGATCTAGGAAGCCTCTAACACAGCAACGACTTGTCACGAGCCCTTTTGAACGATCTGCCCACTTACGAACCCAGGTGCCATCAACAATATTGTTTGAGTCCGTGCGCGGAACCAACTTGAAAATATTATGTTGAACGAAACTGGTAAACTCTTTACGATCAGCTGCTTCGACTGCCGGCCAGTTGTTGACGATATCGCCCGGCGTGAACATCTCGTCAATGGACACACTGAAACATTCATCCTCTTTGGGGTCATTATAGAAGCATCGTGTAGACCAAAAGGGCCCAGGTAAAACAAGAAAAGCTTCATGCTTCTGCCAAGGTAGATGTCCTTATCGTTCAATACGGTTCTGGTGTAATAGTAACTCGGCGTCATGAATGGCGCGGTACATGTAGTCCACCGTGTAATCATCCTTCTGCTCTGGACACTGTCGCGCACGATAAGACGTACCAGTCCACCACGTAGGAAATGGACTAACAAAATGTCGAACATTGTAGTCCTCATGCTCCAAGGGGCTGTCGTCTTGTGCTGGTCGTTCTGCTGTGGTTCCTGGATCTTCAACGGGGTGCTCAATCGTCTGATCTGGATCTTCAGGTGAATACTCTATCGTCTTGTCTGGATCTTCAGGTGGATACTCAATCGTATTGTCCAGGTCTGGTGTAGTAGACGCTAGAAGTATCGGAGGAGTTATGCCTGATGACGATGACGATCCTCCCGCGGTGGGTTGTTCTGCAATCGGCAACAAGGGCCGTGGTAGACTTGGGTCTGTAAATCGAGGAACCTTTTGGTTAGGCGGTGACAATATCGCAGAACTGTCCCGACGCTTTGCTGGTGCTGCACTTGACGGAGATGCCGCTGAAGATGCTGCCGATGGTGCAGCTGATTCCGCTGCTGCTGGAGGCGATGCTGTTGGTGTCGTAGCCGTCGGCGCTGGTATTGATGATGTAGGTAATGAAGTAGGCGCCGGTGTGTCTTCTGGTACTGGTATCGGTAGAGTAACTGGTCTCCGTGCAATAGCTCGTCCACGTTTTGAAAACTCACCAGCTTCAATAGCGTCCTTGAAGCGAAGTACTCGTGAGCGAGACCTGTCCAGATCAACTCCAGTCTCAGGTCCAGGCGCGTCGAACTCCTCGTCGGCGATGGTACTCTCCATCGGTGATGGAGCAGGCACTGGACTCTGCGGTCTCTGCCTAGTATCCCATCTTGGATCTGGCATCGAAAGCATCAATGGAGCAGGAGTTGCAGGTACCTTTGGAACAGAGGCTCCTTGTTCTGTTGATCTTGAAACTGGAGGTCTCGACGGCGGTGTTTGAGGCGCTGGTGGTAACTGCTGTATAGTAGGTGCCATTGGTGTAACTGCTTTTGCCGTAGGCTGAGTTGGTGGCAGATGCCATGTCGTAGGAGCCGCTGGTATAGCTACCGCTGCTGCAGGTGGCGCTGGAGGCGCCGGTGGAGCTGGAGACTCGATCGGAACTTGCACTGACATTGGGCTCACATGAGACATAGTGGCGTCGTTTGACGCAGGCGACCGCGGAGGTACTTGAAAAGCTGCCGGTGGTGCCGGAGGTTGTCAAGGTGGCCAGGTCGGTGGTGTCCGATAATCCGATGCCTGTGGCATGGTTGAGGGCGCGCCATCATCCCATCCAAACGGCCAAGGAGAGGGCTGCCACAACATTTTGTTCCCAGGATCCATGACGTCGTCAAGATCGGGGTCGCGTTCGAAGGAAGAGTTAGATTCGTCCTTGTGGCTGGAGACATAGAAGAGCACATAAGAAGAATCTGCCACGGTCCATGCGCGGCTAAGGTGATGTTGACACTGACAGGCAGCTCCTTTACCACGTAGTTTGACCTGAAGCTTATGTGCCACATAACCAAGATACCTCTACGAGCCGTAGGAATAGAATTCGTCCGCTTGCACCGCGTGCCAACTTGAATCCCACCAATATCATTCTCAAGAAACGTATCCAGGGCCACTTTCTTGGCCACCGTGTAGATGCGCGGCTCGTTCTCATAGAGGTTTGGAGGAACAATCATGGATTGACCCTCAAACTCATTGAAGACCTTGCCGTAGATAAGCGGAGTGTTTGGTACAAGTTGTTCGACCAAACTCATCACCTCAAATACTGTATTTGAAACATCGCGTGTGGTTTTGTAGGCGCTCTGTTCAGATCCACGTTGCAACAACCAAGTGAAAACCACATGAGGTCGGATGTGGCGAAACGGAACCAGCATAGGATATCCACGCCAGGATACGATGGCTTTGTTCTCTGGTGTGTAGTTCTTGGTCAGGTCTGCTGGTCCTCTCCATCCATGATCATCCTTCGAATCGGGCCCACGCCATAAATCAACTTTAGTTCCATCCACGAGCTGTGCAGCATCTGCTGGTGTATGCTGTTGAACTCGCGTGTCATGTGCTTTTGCAATTCTGTCTTCAATGATCGCGGCATTGATGACATCCTTGGCTGCCATTCGTAATCGTAAGGAGGTTTCAACTGCATCAAGAACACTTTCAAGAACTCCGAGCTGGGCTGCCAGTCCAGGATTCTCAAAGTCGTGACGCTCTCGAGGCTGAACTCCAGTACGTGCTGCTGCAGGAGTACGCCCACCATAGCTCAATGATAAGTTAGTTGTCATACAGCACTCCTCGACGCAACGCTCCTTGCTGACATTCAAACCTTGCTTCTGAACAGTAGCCCACAAATTCATACTGCCGTTGCGTAATATCTGAACTCGACGTTCTGCTTTAGGAACTGGGGTAGGTCCTTGACTACCACCAAGATCTCGATTAATAGAAAAATGCTCACATGCTTTAGAGACCAAATCTGAAACTACTGCTCCTTCTTGATCAGAAACAAGCCACCACATCGGACCAACATATTTGATCCACAAGTTAAATGGCGTTTTCATCCACTCGTCTGCTGTCTTTCTCTCGAGCTTTGTGGCGAGCGCGGAACTGATGCATCCATCGAAAATCACGAACGTCATATCCCAGATAAACCATACATCTGTCTGATCTCGAAACTTGATATGCGGGCTTGTCGTCATTCCGTGCTGAGGCCGTGTTGGGCGCCGTCGCCACTTCGTACAGTCCTCGCACTTCTAAGGCATCACTGCCACAACTATTGTGAGGATGTTCGCGCCGAAACCCCCACGACGAAGAAATCGAATCATATCCTCTCGTGGTGCGTTCCAAAACTTGATATGAACACCCAAAACGATTCGCTCCTTCCCGATCGTCTTGAACTCAGGGTGGTTCAACTTCCCTCGTATCTTCGCGAAGTCAAAATTCGGTTCGATGTAATCGGGTAGCTCGACCACCTTCGCATCCTCGATGGGCTCGAGAGCCTTCGGGTCGATTGACTTCTTGAGGATCCGGCGCCGAGGTGGATACCCAGGTGCCAGCGCTGGCGGACGCGGCCCTTCATCTGCGTCTGCGTGATGTCCAGGATCTGGAGGCGCAGGAGCCAGAGGCTCAGGAGCTGCTGCCGCTGCGGCGGGCTCTGCCAAGACAGGCGCAGCTGGATCGGCGAGTCCAGGCGGGGGCCCCACCTGCGGGGCCGCAGCCGCGGCCGGCCCAGCTGCCGGAGCTGGCGCAGCTTCACCAGGAGGAGGTACTCCGCCTGGTGGAACTCCCACTCGATCAGGATTGAAACGACATCCTCGAACACGCGTGTGAGGAGGTGTCGGAACTACATCTCCATCTTCTTGTGTCTTCGTAGCTCCATGCTTGCAACGCCCACACGTCCACCCCGCGAAGTAGGTGTTGCTCCGATCGAAACTTCCCAGAATTGCCCTGATCAAATCGCCAGCCACACTGCGATTGATATGATGCGAAATGTCGAGAAGTGGCGCCGAACAGAACACCCAGGGATAAACTGCTGCAAGGGCTGCACGGTGAAGAGTTCCAACACGTCCTTGTAAAACTCCATGCTGAGCACACTTGTTTGCACCTCTGCACTGCTTGATTCCGTGAGTCAGCTGGATTCCTTTTGTCAACAATGAAGTTGCCGTCTGAATCGGTACTCCTGTCTCGTCGATGGCACCGAATTGGCATTGATCCACGTTGCATCGCGCGCCCTTGGCACTCAGCTTCTGCAACGGGCTTTTAGGAAAGATAGCTGAAGAACGTGGGTTCTCGATAATTGAAGCCTCTCCTCGATCAAAATCAGCATCGACCCTTGATGATATCCAATCCAGCGTCGGTTATTCTGCTGACCTTGTTCGTTTCTTCTTCTCTGGCGCTGATCGGTCCGCTTGCACTGACCAGGGTGAACATTTTTGGGGGGGGGCCAGAAATGAACCTGAACCTGAAGCCGTTGAAGACAAGAATCGAGAAGCTTCTGATGCTTAGGGGTCTTGAGATCCCATCCATATCGATAATCCACTGGAAAACCTATCGAAAGACCCATGGCTGCTGCCGTTGCTGAAAGTCTCCATGAGCCGCTCGCACATTCCTGAAAATCCAGTGGTAGACCACTGTGGCCGCGAGAACTCCGATATTGAGTCATATTTCTGTTCATTCCAATAAACTCTCAGGGGTAACGATCACACAATCTGTGAACGTGTAAAACTCTTCCGGCATCGCACGATACTCGCTGTCAAATCGTCGCTGAAATTCTCGAAGGTGTCGAGGCCAGCAATTTCCACAATCTGAATAGCATTGCCCACGTGTCTGGTTCCATGCCCTGAAGAAGTCCAGGTTGCAGTGCTTCTGTAGCTTGCTGAAGTTCGGCCAGTCGCAAGTTGGCGTCCATGTAATCTCTGCGATCTCCTTCTGAGTAGCCGTACTGCTTCCCGTTCTCGATGCCTGGAGCTGAATCTGCGGTCCGTCTTCATCAATTGTTCGAAATATGCTGCCACAGTAACGCTTGACCACAGCTTCCAACTGCTCTTCTTCAACATTCTACTGTCCAAACTGCACAACTGGTAAGGGATCGTGACCACTGTCCGCGAAGAAAACTCTGATGCAATATGCTTTAGTGCTCGCGTGAGCAACCTTGACCTTGAGAACCAGAACACCATCACGATGATCCAAGATATCGCAGAGCAGGGCCGCGTTGGACTCCAAGAGCGACGGGGGTGGAAGTAGTCCTGGGCACTTCGAACCAGAGCCCCCCATCATATCTGCCGTGAACGTGATATCTTGAACTCCAGGAATTCCGAAGGGGGCATCGTAGCGACTGCCAGGCCAGGGTCCGCGTTGCCGTCGATGCCGGAGAATGTGCTGTGGCTCAGTTCCAATGAATACTCAAGACCAGCGTCCTTCAGGTATGTGCGTACATAATCCTTCATCGCGTCGGTGCCCATGAGTCCGGCGGCTGCTCCAGGATCCACGATGATGCGAGCCATCTCACGTCCACGTACTAGGTGCATGTTGCTATAAGTGTCGCCGTTGCTCATCATGAAGATCGCCCTCTTAATCTGGGCGAGACCTGTACCGTCGTCCATTGGAGTATCGCCGTCGACCTTGTCTTCGTGATCTTCTGGAGGGTAGAATCGCTTGGAATCGTCGATATCCTCTGACGTGTGCGGTTTCTGACTCGAATCAAACATTCGTGATGGTTTACTTCTGACTTGTCCTTTTCTGGCGTTCGCGGTATAACTTCCGTGGGCGGTCCAACAAACCCGAAGGAATGGGCACTTCCACTCAGAGATATCTGAGAAGTGTTCAACGAATAGATCGGAACCCCTGCTGGGATACCATGAACTGGAGCCGATCGACTCGGCATTGAGTCAAAGATACCATCTTTTGGCGTCGAGTCCTCCGTGCTCCAGGAAAACCAATTGTAGTTCAAGTATGCAGGCGATTCGGTTCCATATCCAAACTCCGACCCCTCATCGTAATAATACTCATCGTCGTCCTCGTAATCACCATAGAATCCTCCTTTGCGACGCTGTCCTTTGGATCTCTTTCCTTTTTCCACGTCCTTTCGAGGAAGACCTGTACTTTCATTTTCCTTTTGACGACGATGACCGATACTTACCACTATCATATCCTTCTCCGTAATGTGATTATGAACTCTTGCCGTTCGGTGAATCCTGTCGATTGAGCGGGCAATCGGAAGTTCGATGAAACTTTGAACCACATAGTGTACATCCATCACCTTTTTCCACCGCCACTGCTGTTGCCTTTGCCACGTCCTTTCTTGCCTTTTCCATAGTAATCGTCCTGAACTTCTCCAGTGGCTGTAGGTGATGTCTCGCTGTTCGATTGTCCTGCTGAGGGTAAGTGTTGAGACCAATCATCTTGAAACCAGTCCCCTGAGTCATTCCACCTTTCTCCTTCATGGTATACACCACTGTCGTCGTACCACTCGTCCGAATACCACGAATCATCCTGCCATTCCGTGTCCTGCCAGTGCTGCTTGATCATCTCGGGAATGCTAGAGCCTGGGTTCGTCTCCGAGTGGGCCAGTCGTTGCAATAACTGCATGGGCTCCTCGAAACGCGATAAGTTGCCATCCAACTTCAACTTTGTATCATCCTTCAATCCATCTGTCAAGCCCGAGGTGCGTAATAACAAATATGACTTTCCCATGTCATTGATCTCCAATCCTGAATTCGCGTGAGCCTCGTCATCGGTCATTCTCCACATCGTCAAATAGTCCGAAAGAGACAGAGCACCTCGGTGATGCATGAAGAAGGCGTCCAACGACTGAATATTCATCTCGTGCTCTTGCATTCCGAACTCCCGTTGGATATTCTGCAATAGTACTGTCGCTCCTGCTGGCTCAGCTGCGAACTGCTCTCCCGTGGCGTTCTGCCAAACATCGTGACTCGGCTGGGCCAGCAACTCGTCACCGACCATCTCCCGCATCATGCCCGTCGCGAAGCCGAGGCGAGTCGCACGCATATTATTGGCGACCTGGAAGGCCGCCCCTCTGAGCCTGCCCGCCACGGCGGGACCACAGGCGCTCCCTCCGACATCTGTCTGACGCCACCACAATCTTAGTAGCTGCGTGTACCGTCGTAATGGATACTTGGGCATTCCGGCTCCCCAGCCGGGTGGCACACTCTTGGTGAAGCTGTCCAAGGGCAGGCCAGACTCTGACTGGAATACACCACTGTCATGGGCCATGATGTCTTCTGCCCCGTATGGAAGGTGAGGAACTTGAAGTAGAGCTTGTAGGGGTAGAAGAAGAAAGAGTAAAACTCGCTGCTCTCGGTGCCTCGCACAAGGGCGTGCAGGGCGCGCAATCGATCTCGTCCTTGGTGGCCTGCACGTCGTACTGGCCGTAAGGTTCTGCTGGAAACTCTCGTCGGTGAACGCGTCGGTGAAGATGCACGTCTCGGCCTGCTATCGGCGGCGCGCGCTGGCGCGGCAGGATGGGAGGATGAGACAGCGTTAGCAAAACTTACACTACCAAAGTTGGTTTCTCGACTTGAGCCCAGGGCGAAGGGTCATACAAACAGTATATCCGAAGGCCTCTGGAATCAACTCTAACATACAGTTCTAAGAGAGGCAATCCGAGGCCAACTGTACACAGATAACTTTACTGAGGGGGAGGGGGAGGGAGAGCAAGAGGGGGAGGAGAAAAAAGGGGAGGGGAGGAGGCGGGGGAGGGGGAGCGGGAGGGAGAGGGGGAGGGGCAAGGGGGGCCAAAAAAAAAGGAAAGCGAGGAAGATGGGGAAGGGGGAGAGGGAAGAGGAGAGGGAGGAGGAGGAGGAGGAGGAGGAGAAGGAGGAGGAGGAGGAGTAAGAGGAGGAGGAGGAGGAGGTGGAGGAGGAGGAGGAGGGTGAGCAGGAGGAGGAGGGGGGAGGAGGCGGAGGAGGAGGACGAGGACGAGGACGAAACGGGAAGAGTAGACATAGCCTGAGAGTGGTCCCCCAATGACCGCACTGGGCGCGAAGCGCCACAGACGCAGCACTAATCCCTCGCGTGGCAGAGGCGCGCGCGCGATGTGCTGTGCGAAGCACTAAGAACTTGGCGCGCGGTTGACGTAAGAAGCCAAGGCGATGGCCCCAGCCGCCCCTAGGTTGGCAAATTCACACTCAGGCGCGCCGCAATCCGCATCCCTCCCGAAACCAAGTCGTCAAAGATAGCCCAGGGGGAGGAGAGGGCGCCATTGGCACAAGGCGCCACAAAGCCTCATATGCAGACGAGATAACGCACGATCTCGTCACGGCCGCCACACCGATAAATGTACCTATGCCGGCAAAGAGAAACATAAACCTTGCAGCCCGTCGCCCTCCCTCCACGCATTGCGTTCAAGGCCGCCTAGCGCCAGCTCGGACGCACGAAGAGGCAGATGGATCTCAAGAGAGCCAACTAGACTGCGCGCTAAGTCACCAGTGCACCCCGATCTCCACGACCGAAGCCTGCGGCCGGTCGCGAGGTAAATGTGGCCAGGGAACACGGGCTTCCGAACCCGCCTCCCCCCCGCCCAACCGCTGGACCTCCGCTTAACGATACGCATCTCTGGCCGACTGGACTTTCTGGGTCCTGGCCCTCCTGGCGCTCTCTCAAGACCGATGAACGAGGCGTAGAGTGAGGAAAAAGTCCATAAGCCATCGTATCCTGGCTCCACAGACTGGCTGGCCTCCTCCACGATCTCTTCAAGAAAGCCCACGCTGAGGAGGTGCCTTTGGAGCCGCCTCATAGGGACCAACATCGATGCAGTAGGAGGAGGAGGAGGAGGAGGAGGAGGAGGAGGACCAGGGCAAACCCAAGACTCATCAACGATGTTGGGATACACCTTCCCCCCATACAAAGAACCACTTCCACTGAGGAACGTGCCCCGTTGGGAGACAACTGTGTGAAAAATCTGAAGCGTGCAAACGAAACAGCATTCTTAGGACTGCAACGCCACGAGTCAACCTGACCGTTGCGTCTTGACGACCCTGAATCGTGCCAAAGCAATATTCCTGGGGCTTCAACAACGCGAATCAACGCAATTGTTGCACCCTGACATTCCTGAACCGCTCGACAACAAATGAAGGTTAACCATGAGAACCCGCGAAACTCTTCCATGTTTGTAAAAACGACGGTTCGCGACGGCAATGCGAAAGACAAAATTTGAAAAAGCAACCACCCTCAATCTGAAAAAACCTTGCGGTTGTTAAGACGAGTGCGCGCGGCTTTAAAGCGAGAGCCACATATTGAAAACGACCCACCCTCAATCCGCGAAACGATTGCAATGTTTAAAACGAATGCGCGCGGCGCGAAGGCGAGAGCCACTTGTTGAAAACCACATGCCCTCAATCCGTGAAACTCTTGCAAATGCCCAAAACAAATCCGCGCGGAGCTAAGGCGAGAGTCACAGTTTGAAAACCACCCGCCCTCAACCAGTGAAACTCTTTCATTCCCTACCTAGGCTCTGCCTAGTAGGGTTCTTACTCGGTAAGCTTAAAGGGCCAGGCAAAGGAATGCGCCCCGGGCGGTTCCCCCGGCATCCGCCCCGCGGTTCCCCCAGCGACGTTCCCTTATCTTAGCGTTGCTTACCTCATCTTAGCTTATCTTATTTCATCTTAGCTTAGCTTCATCTTAGCTTAGCTTAGCTTCATATAAGTGTTTGATGTTGCTTTCCTAGATCCTCCAACTCCTAATTAGGTAGGGTCGCACTGGGATAATTTGTTTAGAACCGAATGCAAGCGGCGCTAAAGCGAGAACGACATGTTTCAAACGTCCAACCCTCAGTCCGTCAAACCCTTGTACACCTTAAAAACGAATGCACGCAGCGCTAAGACGAGAGCCGCATGTTGAAAACCACCCGCCCTCCATGTGCGAAACTGCTGCCAGCTTCTAGGCTTCAGGCTCATATATGGCAAAAATAATTGAAGCGAAACGCCTGGCCCGCCTTTCCGACCAGCCTCGAAATGCGACAGGGAGGAATTATTCACAAGGAAAAGGAATGGAAGAGAAGGAGGAGGAGGAGGAGGAGGAGGAGGAAGACGAGGAGGAAGATGGGGAGGACGAGGAGCTGGGGAGAGGAAGATCGAGGCTGTACTTGAGCCATGAAAGTTAGCCCTGTGAACCGTTCAAGTCTTCTAGCAGGCACAAGCTGTTCATCGACGGCTCGCGCCTGAACCCAACCTGCGACATGCTGGCCAGTGCGGGCTGGGGTGTGGCAGAGATTGGTCCCGAGGGCCAGTTTCTCTCGGGTGTCTTCGGGGCTGTTTTTGGATACGGCCACTACGAACAGACGGCATCCATGGGCGAACATCACGGGCTACCCATGGCACTGAATCCGGCGCTCTGGAGCACTGACCAGCAGTATGATATGATGGCCCATTACGCGGCCTTGACCAAAGGCACGGGCGAGAGAGCATATTGGGACGGTCGATCGGTGATGGGGGAGCACTGGAGGCACGTCCGTTCTATACCTGCTTCGCACAGCATCTCGAAGGTCAAGGCACACAGATCGGAGGAGGCTGCTGAGAGTGAGGCCGACACAAATTTTAGTCCGAGGCAATGGGCCGACTAGTTAGCATAGAGAGGAGCCACCCGCAACCAGCTCGATCCTACCGACGTGGAAAGGATTGAGCAGGCCCGCGGTGCTCTTCAGTCCATTGTTTGGTCGTAGGTTCGAATGCTGGCTCTTTGGCCTAAGTCTCGTGAGCTCTTTGGGGACGTCGATCGATTCCCGAGGGCGCCCAGACCAGCCCAGCCAGCCTCCAGACACTGCCTCACTTTGGACGGAAAGATGTGGAGATGTGTGAAGTGTTTCAAACGTTTAAGGCGGCCTGAGAGGGCTGTGGGGCCCTATGGGGCCTTTGCCCCCGTCCATGGTGGCCCTGCATTCTTCTCCTCTGGCCGAAACCCATCTGTGGTTTGGAGCTCGCACCCTCAAACATAATTCGCCAGTCATTTTTTTGTTACAGGGAGTCACATACAGGGCAATCGGGCTCCGCCCGCCCTGCAAGCCGCCTATTCCCAACCCAAAGTCAAACAGCTGGCCCTGCTCCGCAGAAGCAAGCTCCCCTGGCCTCGCGGGATGTAGTCCCACCAGAACTCTGGGCGCAGGTGGTCTATAGCATTTCCTTTTCCAACCTCCTTCCTTTCCCTGCTGGGGAGGTTTACCCCCCCCCCCCCCCTCCCTGGGTCTGCAAGGGCCGGAGCCCGAGGGGTTAGAGCGTCCAAGATGGCCCAAGATAGCTCCAAGAGGGCTTTGGGTAGCCCAAGATGGCCTCCAAGATGGCCCACGATACTTCGAGATGGCTAAGATAGCCTCCGACACACATCCAAGAGGCCCCAAAACGGCCCCAAGACGGTCTGAAGTGCCCTCCGAATCCTCCAAGGAACCCCGAAGATGCCAAAACGGGTTCAAAACCTTGGGAAAATCAATGTTGTTTGCCTTTTCGCTGTTTCGGTTCGGATGGCCTCTTGAGGCGTCCAAATGGCCCCAAGATGGCCCAACATAGCCCCAAGAGAGGCCCAAGAGGGCCCCAAGACGGCCCCAAGAGCGCCCAAAAGCGCCCCAAGAGCGGTCCAAGAGGGCCCCGGAGACGCCCCTTTTGAGCCTCCGAGGGGGGGACCTAAATTTACACTCAAAACTTATGCTAAGAAATCTTCCAGTAAGAAATTGAGACCCAGCTTCGCTGAATTTCTTAGCCCCCTTGCGAGAGCCAGCTTTGAAGCGTGCAATTTCTTAGCGCAGCGCGACGCCAGTGTGGGTGGTTCCGATGAAGATTGTGCCGGTGATTGTGCCGATTGCGGCGCCGGGGGCTCTGCAGCAAACAACATACAGGAACACGTCAAGATCTGGGCGAGGATCTGGGTGGTGATCTGGGGGAATATCCGGGGGAACAGCCAGAGCAAAATCCGGGAGGCGATCGATGGAAATCTGTGAGAAGATCTGGGGGAAGATGTGGAGGAAGATCTGGAAAAATATCTGCAGGAACATATGGAGGGAAATCTGGAGGAGTATTTGGATGAACGCACGGGGAACAAGCTAGAGGAAGATCCCGATGAAGATCTGGAGGAAGATCTGGAGGAAGATCTGGAGGAAGATCTGGAGGAAGATCTGGAGGAACATCTCGAGGAACCTCTGGAGGAAGATCTGGAGGAAGATCTGGACGAAGATCTGGAAGAAGATCTGGATGAAGATCTGGAGGGAGGAAGATCTGGAGGAAGATCTGGAGGAAGATCTGGGGGAATATCTGGAGGAAGATCTGGAGAAAGATCTGGAGGAAGATCTGGAGGAAGATCTGGAGGAAGATCTGGAGGAATATCTGGAGGATGATCTGGAGGAAGATCTGGAGGAAGATCTGGAGGAAGATCTGGAGGAAGATCTGGAGGAAGATCTGGAGGAAGATCTGGAGGAAGAGTTCTGGAGGAAGATCCGGAGGAAGATC